TCAGAAGGCAATATTTTACAGTTAGGGTGGTCAAAATCTGGAACCAACTTCCCAGGGAAGTGGTCCTCACCCCTACCTTGGGCAAATTCAAGAGGAGGTTGGATGATCACCTGTCTGGTCTTGTGAACCCAGCATTCATTCATGCCTGTGTCAGGGGGTCAGGCTAGATGATCTGTTCAGGTCCCTCCTGACCCTAGCTACTATGAAACCTTTGTTTTAGACACAAAGAACCACACACTGTTTCTGCCAGAAAACTGGAGTACATCATAATCTTTGTTCTGAATTTCTACTATTCTGTAAGGCACCTTCACTTTCAAGGGGCATCTTTCATCTCTGCACCTAAGCCGTGAGTCTTTCCATTATTACAAAGGCTTGCTCCTATAATGGTCTGAACTAGAGGTGCAACGATACATTGGTCTGATATCAGATCAGCACCAATATAAAGAAAATTGTATATATCCAAAAAAAAAAAATTGGCCTGATGTGACTGATAATTTTGCTGATAAACAGCCCGTGCACGCACACAGCCACAGCGCAGCACATAGGCAGTGAGGAGCATGGCCCAGCAGCTGGTAAGTCTGGTGTGGTGGGAGGGAAAGGAAAGATCAGTGCCAGGGCGGAGGGTGGGGCACGCAGAACAAAGCCATAGCTTGTCCAGGGGGTGTAGGGAGGTGGGGAGGGGGCTCCCGCTGCTGCACACCACTAGTGTGGTGCTGGTGGCTTGTCCAGCAGCTCCTGCCACTCATCCAGGAGGACATGTGCCCCTGGATCTGCATGGGGCAAGGCCATGGTGAATTTTTGGATGTCTGCAACCCCTCTGCCCCCTCCCAGCACTGCCACTGCCCACCTTGAAAGAAGCCCAGCCAAGCCCCAGCCCCGGCCATCCCTGCACAGATCCAGGTCCCCGCCTTGTGCCCTCCCAGGGTGTGTGGAGTGGTGGGAACCACACCCCTCCTCCCCGGACAAGCTGTGGCTCTGCCCCACATACTGCCACGCCCCGGCTGGGCAGCACCTGCCCCAGCCCCACTTCCTCCTTTGCCACAGGGATCTGCCACCCCACATCCCTTCCCACCACAACAGACTTACCAGTTGCACTCAGCTATATCAGAAATCGAATTGGTATCGGCCAATATGCTTTCTTAAAACTCAGCTATCAGTATCAGCCCCCAAAATCTCTATTGGTACACCCCTAGCCTGAACACCTGGTATGTGGTGTTGGGTGCCATTCCTCTTCCCCTGAAGTCAGCACTGTTGTACACCAAGCATCTTACATTGCTAGAAGCTAAAATATGGATTTTGGCCCTTGCATTTCAAAAAAAATTGGCACTATGTTGTTATATGTATAACTGATGGCATTGCCTATAGTTAAGGTTGCCCTACACTTTCCATTAGAAGCAACTCAAGATAGAGAGTAATATAACTGCCAAATTTTAACCATTTAGGATTGAAATGTTTATGCCAGCTGCTTGTCTCAAGCCAACATTTTAAATTTTCACTAACATGATTCAGCTATTTCAGAGAATGAGATTGCACAAAATAATTACATGGTTTTGCCCATAAAATTTGTCCACCAATTTTACTGACTGGCTCTATAATTTCCATGCTTTTGAACATGGAGGGAGGCTTATCAATGATGGAAGTTAGGAATATGCCCCAAAGAGAACTACATAAGACTGCCCCATACCTCTGGGGGTAGATTAGAAAAGCAAAAGGTGGTGACTGAATTTATGTTAGCAAACAAAAATCAAGGACAATAAGAAGTCCTTCTATAGGTATGTAGGTAACAGGAGGAAAACTAGTGGAAATGTGGGACCACTGCTCAATGCATCTAGACATCTGATCACTGACACCAAGGAGAAAACTGAACTCCTGAATGAGTACTTTGCATCTGTATTCCACCAGTCTGAGTAATAGCCTGCCAAACGCAAATATGACACAGAATAGTCACAGTAGGGATGATCACCTACCAACAGTCAATGTAGAGCTCAGGTGCGGCGAGTGAACTCAGATTGGTGGGGCGAGTGCAGCAGCACATGGAAGCAGGGGTGGGGGTTGCAGCCTCCCCACCAGAGCTGTCCCTAGGGGCATATCAGTCCATGTGGGGCTGGGAGGTGGTGAGTGGCTGAAGCATGGAGTGGGGGGGGAGTGGCTTGAGTGGCCAGAGTGCTGAGCGGGGGGGCAGGAACAGAGAAGTGGCAAGTGGCCAGAGTGGGGGGGGGTGCCAGAGCACAGGTCCTGTATGGCACTGTCCGCAGGGCCCCACAAAGCGCAGGGTCCAGGGCAGTTGCCCTGATTCACCCCTCCTATGGACAGCCCTGCAGGACCAGATGACCCCATCTGAGCGTGCTGAATGAACTAGCCGAAGTCATTGCAGGACTGCTGGCAAACCTCTTTGAGAATTCGTGGCGCTCAGGAGAGGTCCCAGAAGACTGGAAGAGGGCCAATGTTGTGCCCATCTTCAAGAACGGGAGGAGAGAGGACCCAAGGAACTACAGGCTGATTGGCCTGACCTCAATCCTAGGAAAAATCCTTGAAAAAATTTCTCAAGGAGTCCACATGTGATAAGCTAGTAGAAGGCAAAGCTCTGAATGATAGCCAACACAGTTTTGTCATGGGTCACCTCATCTCCTTCTACAACCAGGTTAATCAGATAAGGGAGTGTAAGGGAGATGAGGTCAATGTCATTTACTTGGACTTTAGGAAGGCCTTTGACTTGGTGTACCATGAGGCTCTCAAGGTAAAACTAGGGGACTATGGGCTCAACAATTCAATGGTCAGATGGGTAGGAAACTGGCTGTGGGGTCAGACCCAGAGAGTACTAATAGACGGATCTGTGTCAATCTGGTGGAAGGTAGCCAGTGGTGTCCCCCAGGGTTCGGTACCTGGACCAGTGCTTTTCAATGTTTTCATGAATGATCTAGATGTGGGGGTGAAAAAAAACCAACCAAACAAACAAAAAAACCCACACACTAGCAAAGTTCACCAATGACACTAAGCTGTGGGGAAATGCAGCCATGCATCAGGGTAGGCTGATGATCCAGGTGGACATAGACAGATTAGTTAGATGGGCAGAACAGAAACAGATGCAGTTCAATACAGACAAGTGTAAAAAGTGCTGCATCTGGGGAGGACAAATCCTTAACAAACTTACAGGTTCGGTGGTGCTATGCTAGCTAGCACCACGTCTGAAAGGGACCTGGGGGTCATCATTGACCATAAAATGAATGAGAGCCATCAGTGTAATGCTATAATTAACAGAGCAAACAGGACGCTGGTGTGCATCAACCGATTCATCTCAAGCAAAACTAAGGAAGTTATTCTCCCACTCTACTTGGCATTGGTGAGGCTGCAGCTGGAGTACTGAATCCAGTTCTAGGTGCCATGCTTCAAGAAGGAGGTGGAGAAGCATGAGAGTGTCAAGAGAAGAGCCATTCGTATGATTAGAGGCCTGAAGAGCAAGCCATACAAGGAAAGGCTGACAGATAGGGGACTGTTCAGCCTAGAAAAGAGAAGACTTTGGGGGGTATGGTGGCAGCTTATGAATGTATCAGGGGAGAGCATCAGGGGCTAGGCAAACAACTGTTCACCAAAGTGCCCCAGGGGAAAACCAGGAACAACGGTCAAACTCCTAGAAGAAGGTTTCAGACTGGATACTAGAAAAAGTTCTTCATGGTTTGTGTGACCAGACTCTGGAATAGACTCCCAGCAGATGTCGTGCAAGCACTAGGGCTGTGCAAAACAGCAGCATCCCACTTCAACATCCATTTCAATGGAACAGTGTTTCATTTCAAAAGCACTGTTCTGTTCCATTTCATTGAAACAGTTTCACTGTTTCGATGTTTCACCCATAGGCTACAACAGGGAAACACAAAACAGCCTGTACATTTGTCATTTCTTGCCTGATTGCGAGGAAACTTGCAGGGATGGTAGCCCCTTCTGAGGGTATGAAGCCTGCCAAGTTTCAAGGAGATAGGTGCAGGGGTTTCTAGGAAACTGCACTTCAGGTTGCTGACAAGCAGGAGCTGGGGAGCAGGAGCAGCGTCATGTGATTTGGCAGGCCAACCAGGGGCCTGCACTCCCGGGAGCAGTCTGGCAGGAAACCAGGCTGCAGGAGGGGCTTCCTCCAGCTCATCCAAGTTCCCCAGCGCTGCAATCAGCCTGGCACTTTCCCATGTTTCCCACCACCTGGCTGGCTGTTTCAAAATTCAAAACGTTTTGAAACTTTCAAAACGTTTCAACTGGCCTTGTTTCATTTCGAGGCTGTTTCAAAGCCCTTCATTTCATTTCAATTTCACTGTTTTGAGCTTGAAACGAGTCAAAACGAAACAGCCATCGAAGCTTCGCACAGCCCTAGCAGGCACCTATCCTGGAAATCTTCAAAAGGAGACCGGACACACACCTTGCGGGGCTATTTGACCCCAGCAGTCTTTCCTGCCCAGAGCAGGGGGGCTGGACCCAATGATCTCATGAGGTCCCTTCCAGCCCTAAACTTCTGTGAGTCTGTGAAACAGGGATGCAATTTTCCTCTTCTATGAAAATGCAACCAAATTTGGCCAACTTATAAGGCTCTTAAAAAGTCTCCATTTTAATATATATTTACCTAAGTTCTTGGGGGCCCCCCTGCAGGCCTGGAAGGAACATATTTTGTGCTCATGAAATAATTTATTCCTCACAAATGTCAGAGGCTAATATGCTGCTAAGAAGGGAACCATACTCTCAGTTTCCCACTGCTGTCAGTGCAGAGAGTTCTCTTTTGCACGGTCAGTGACACACTTCCTTCAGATGTACGTTTTCTCAAATAATTGGGAACATTCATCCTCACCTCAGCAGCCTCACTTCTAGAACTGTAGGCTGAAGCAAATGCACATTATCTCTATCCTCTGAGAGAAAAAATTAATAAAAAACTAAGCAAACTGCCATAGAGGATTCAAGCCCTTGCTTCTCATGGGATTGAGATCACTCTAGAAATTTATTTTACGTGACTTCAAATGATCCACCTCCCCTGCCACCCTGTAACAACATTGTCTCTATGGGTGGCCATGAAGCCCCTGGACTCCCTTCAACCTTTACCCACTCTGGTCTCTGTGTATCTTGTGAAACATATTTGCAAACCTAACAGTGAAAGTCCCTTCATTCACTCACCACACCTTTATGTCTTTGCTTTAGGTAAGGAAGGCTGCCCCAGGGCTTCCCCAATCTGCTCTCATTCTAATGACCACTAGGTATCTGTGATTATTGCTTTATGGTCTAATTGCATGGCACCACTCATCCCTACACCATACTCCATGCCATGAAGGTGCCATCACTCTCTGATTTTTTCATCCCCCACTCCAGGCTCCTGGACCACCTGGTCCCACCTTCAGCCCCTCTCTAGGCTCCTGGACCCTTCTGGTCCCACCCTCAGCCCATCTTGGGGCTCTTGCCTCACTCTCAGCCCCTCTCTGGTTTCCTGGACCCCCTTACTAAGCCCCCAAGGACCTCCTCCTCCCCATAGTCCCTTTCCAAACCTCCAGACTGCTGTAGGCTGTTCTCTCTGTGCTGGCACTCAGGAGCTACAGCCATCATGCTTAGGAGATGTTCCTTCAGCAGCCTCCAGGATCTTACTGCTGTCTCAGCTCAGGGCCTGGGCTTATATCTGGTCTAAGCCCAGCCTTCCTCCTGGGTCAGATGACTACACAATCAGCCCAAGTCACACTTGTAGGCTGATTCTGAGGCATGGTCCCCAATTGCCTTCCTGCTGCACCTACAGCCTGCCTGCTCCTAAAGGAGCAGAAGCTCCAAGCCTCTTGCTACATAACCCCAAAAAACCAAAACAACCACCAATCAGGAGAACGTTGAATCTCATTACAGGAACAGTTCCTTTTTCTTTTACTAAGTTCTGGAAATGCTGGGAAGAGTACGACAAACCTTGCTTCACTTTTAGATCAACTAAGAGTATGGTGGCTGTAAAGTATCTGATAAAACAGCTATTAAATGATATGGAAAGCAATGTCAGGGTATGGACACATGTCCATTTTTAGTGCTACAAAGTGTTGAGACACTTCTCATGTTTTGTTTTTGTTGAGATACCGTAGTGCTACAAAAATAAAATACTATGCAGGTGTGCACATATGCAGTCCCCAGACTGGAGCACTACAAAGTGTGTTCTCCAGCCAGAAGCCAATAGGGCAGCTGCTTCTTGGGTCCTCTCACCCCGAGGAGAGCTAATCAGTGAGGCATCCACAGCAAAGAGGCTGCCTCCAGCTGGCGCCCATGTACAAGAAAGCCCCTGTTCAGACTGAATGATTACAAGTGACACTATAAAATGTAGTGCTACAGAAGAGTTCTTCTTTGAGAGAGGACATTTTTATGGCAAAGCCATCATTTTTGTGGCACTACAGATAGCCTGGACCAGGGCTGGGTTAACCCTTTAGTGGGCCCTAGACAAACAATCTCGTGGGACCCAGGCCAGTCGAGGCCCCCCTCTCCACCCTGGTGCTGCCACCCATGGGGAGTGGGGCTTGGAGCCATGGCTAGGAAGCAGCTGCAGCAGCAGCAAGGCCGGCAGAGGGGAGGGGAGGGGAGGGGAGGGGAAGGGAAAAGGAGGTGGATGGAGCCATTCACCCCGCCACTGTGAAGGGAAAGACTGGGGCCCCGCGTCGCTCAGGGCCCTAGGCATATGCCTAGTTTCCCCATGAATTAATCCAGCCCTGGCCTGGACATACAGACACTCATTTTTGTAGCAGTACAAGGGCAGTTATAGCTCTATAAATGTAAGACGTGTCCTTACTCTGAGAAACTTAGGTACCTTGCAGGAAAGGGATTTGAAATGGGGAAAACTGAAACCATCTGAATCAGAGAAGCATTAAAGAAAAGGTTAAGAACTTACTTAACAAGAGATGTACTCCCTTTCTAAGGAGAATCTCTTTCACCTCCTGCCGGACACATGGTAGAAGTTCTACATCAGCAAGTGCCATTTTTGAATGAATGAGAGTGATCTGTGGAGACAATGTAAAAATTGTAAAAATAACTACAGACACTGTCAAGGGAGGAAAAGATATCAGATAGAACCAGAAATAAGCCCTTAATATGAAGTGTGATAAGCATGTTTCCTCCTGCTTGCTGGGAAACAAAGCAGTAGATACGCCTTAGGTAGGCTGCTGGCCTGCAGTATGCATTTCTGGGTACAAAGACAGAATAGGGAAGAAGGGGAGGAGAAGACCAATGGAAAGGCTGTAAACAATTCTCCTTCCAGTCACTTCCAGCAGCCAGCACCGTAGGACAGTGGGCTGTGAGGTTGCTCAGAGCTGCTCCAGGTCTAGCCTTGATAAACAGGAGGCACTGGGAATCAGCCACTGTCAGGGACTTCATAGCTACTGAAATTCCAACCTCCTCTGGCAGGAAGCACTGCAGAAGAACAAAAAGTTTAAGTCACGCAAACAAGCGAACGATCGCAGCTAGGGTATTTAATCACATAATCCATTTCTAGTACCTCTTTGGCTGGGTATTCTGTTTTGATCTCTGCTGCCATCTCTACTCCAGCAGCACCACCTCCCACTACCACGATACGTGAAGATTTCTGGATCTTTCAAAACCAAAAACAAATAAACAAAATCACCTTGTGATGTTACAATACTTCAGAAATCACAGCAAACTGGGGAAGGGAAGCATTCAGCCAGCAACATCTCAGCATCTTTCGTGATTTATTGCAAGCCCTTTTTCTTAGTAAAACTGAATCATTGCAGAAACTGCCACAGCGAACAGTCAGCTTGTCTCCATGCTCCAGAAGGAGAGAAATGAAGCTGTCCCTCTGAAGGTTGTTTGAGGGTCACCAAAAGATATCCCCCCTCCACACACACACATCCACAAGCCACATACACTTGAAAATTGCTAACGTAACTGAACTGAATGGCTACCAGTCCTTTCCTAGGACTCTGATGTACCAACCAATGCTTTCTACAGAAATACAAGGAAGAGGATTGTTTGTGTATTTACACAGCAGTGACCCACTCCTAGCTGATAGCATACTGTTGCAGCCTCAGGTACATTGAGAAATAGGTTCAGACCTTCTGTCAACATATACCTTAGAGTGGTTTGCAGCAAATTTGAATTGGAAGATTTAAAGAAACAAGCCTGAAAAAAGCAAAACTGAACCTGTTTGGGATTCAGGAATACATATTTTTAAATTATGGAATTCCACTGTAAATGTGAGTAATTGGAAAGATTATAAGACTACCCAATTTTCTTTTATACATCCCCCAAATATCCACGTGCACACACACTATTTTTGGAAGGCTCCAAGAAGAGAAAATAAAAATAAAATTTTACCCTGGAGTATGGGTAAGTACCAGAGGTTTGGGGTCTGCAGGACTAGGGGCCACAAGGTACAGTAGGACTTGACCTGTCACACCAGTGCTAGGTTCAACTGTAAGTACTGCCGAATCTGGAGCCACAAGCTGGGTCCAGGGTCACATGCTGAGTTGGACCTGGCACTCTGGGTCTCGACATGGACCAACTTTGCACGTCATCCCAATCTAGCATGGGTTTGGTGAGGGGGCCTCCCTAAGGGTCCAGAAATGTGATGGCTGGAGGGAATGGTGGGGGGGGAAACAGTGGCAGCATTAGCTGTTGTGGCTCCCAGAGACATAGGATATTTTCTCACATATAACGTGCACCCCAATTTTTCCCAGCTCATTTTGGGGTAAAACGTATGGGTATATGCCAGAAAATATGCCCTGTTGCAAGACAAAAGGGACTGCTATGCAGCCAGGCAAGTCCAGGATGATCATCAGCCCTGGTTTAAAAACCATCCTTCAACTTTTATTACATCAAGGGCGTAGGTTTCTCCTTCTCTTCTGGGGACTAGCTCCCAACTGCTCGCCAAGGTGATCCAATTATCTTGTCCAAGCATAGCTTGGAATAGGCAGTATGGTCACTCAAACTATTATGTATTACAAAGAGGTCTGTATCAATGGTGAACTGTTCACCAGCACTCCAACCCAAAATATTTTGATTATGGCAAACAGAAAACTATAAGATATATTTTCCATTGGTCCCACTCCTTGCTCTGACACCATGTAGCACCATTCTGTTGGCTCCCTCTCGGATCCAGACACCTCTGCTACTATTTCTCTATTGCTCACTCATTCCCCCTGAACTCCAAACTCAGATGCTTCCAGCACTCTTTAATTCATCCTCCCTGGTTTCTTACCAAAACTGCAACAATGCAACCAAACCTCCCACCATATTTTCAACAAAAGTTTTCAATCCTACCTCTTTGACCATGTCTTCATAGGTATGAATGGCAGTTTCCATGTCAATAATCTGGTTAAACTTCCCAGGGAAAGGCCCATCGCTGCCTGTAGCAAGAATGAGATGGGAATAGGAAATCTCCTGGGGAGAGAAAAGGTGGAACAGGATGTTAGGCTTCATTTTGAGAAGTCCAGGATATGGGAGCCACTTCCTGGGCAGTGTTCTGGTAGTATGTCTCCTCCATCACTTGCATCAAAACTGTGATCCAACCCTCTGCCACAGCTTTGCAGGATTAATGTATTCAGAGAACTCAGAATAAAGTTGACAGGACATGATCTGAACATGCTAATAGGAACTAGATGAGTCTGAACATTTAATGGAGTGTTACAGCCTTCTCTCTCAGGCTGATGACCTATAAAAGATACGTTTTGTAGACTCGGGCTAAGCTGTAGCACCCAACTGTGCACATCACAAAAAAGTTACCTTTACAAGTGGCTCCTTTTTGGCACCCTTGGCTGACAGGCTAGGGCAGGGACGGACAATTATTTCAGACAGAGGGCTGCTTACCCAGTTTTGGCAAGCTGTCAAGGGCTGCCTGGGTAGCCCCGCTCCTTGACAGTTGCCCTACCCCCTGGTCACCATCTTGGGACCAATGTCTCAGGACCAGCACCGGTGGAACCCAGAGCAGGGCACAGGCTGGCAGGGGTCTGTGGAGCTGGGCTGGACTGCACCAGCAGTGAGAGAGGGGAGCTGACCCAGCTCCATAGAGCCCCTGCCAGCCGGGACCCTGGGACCCTGTACCCCTGCCGCTCTGCTCTGGGCCCCACCGGCGCTGGCCCCAGGACATCGGTGTGGGCCCCACGCTCCCGTGCCCCTTCACTCCCAATGCCCCACGGCCCCGCAGTACAGGCAGGGGCCAGCGTGCAGCCCTGACCCCGCGCTCCCCAGCAGGGAAGGAGCTCCTTCTGAGTGTGTGGGAAAAGCGGCTCCTTGCCCGCCCCATGGCTGGTGCTCCCTGCTGCAGCTGCTTGCAGCCCACACAGGGCTGTCCTGAGCAGGCACAGGCCGCCCCAGGTGGGCTGTGAGCGGCTGCAGCGCAGGGCACCAGGCAGGCAAGGGGCCACTCCCCCCACCTCCCACGCTCGGCACCAGCTTGTAACCCACCCCCGCTGCCGGCCTGGGCCCCACGCTGGCTCCAGGCTCACCCATCAGGGCTCCACACACAAGCTCTGGGTGGGCAGCAGCAGCAAATACTGCCCAGTGCAGCAAGCAGGGAGGGGCCCGCAGCTGCTCCTGCCATGGAGCAGCCCTGACGGGAGAGCCCGTAGCCGGCATAGGGCCCAGGCTGGGAGCGATGGTGGGTTACAAGCTGGTGCTGAGTGCAGGGAAAAAGCAGCCCCTCGCCTGCCCCGTGCTGCAGCCACTCTCAGCCCGCACAGGACTGCCTGTGCCTGCTCAGGACAGCCCTGCGCAGGTTGCAAGCTGCTGCAGCAGGGAGCATGGGCCATGGGGCGGGCAAATGGCCGCTTTTCCCTGCACTCAGCTTTTTATCTGGGCTCCTTCCCCACCCGGGGTCCCGCCCACCCCCCTTAGCTGAGGTTCTGATGCGGTGCAACCACCTGGTCCCAGCCCAGAAGCCCCTGCTGGGGCTTCCAGCTGAGGGGCGGGACCACTCAGGCCCTGCTGCTGTGGGAGCCCGCCAGGCTTCCCCTGGTTCCTGTCCTTTTTTTTTTTTTTTTTTTTTTTTTTTTTTTTACAGGAACCAAGGACCTAAATTTTCTAAATTTTTGAGGGGCCCTGTGGGCTGGAAAGAAAGGCCTTGCAGACCAGATCTGGCCCGCAAGCTGTATTTTGCCCATCCCTGGGCTAGAGACTGAATGAAGATAGACTGATCAACACTCTTCCCTTCAGACATGTTAAGACACTTTACCAGGACCATCCTTGGAAGTTTATATATTTGTTTTCTGCACTTTAACTACCCTGTGCATATTTAAAGGACTTCAGAGTCCTTCACTTAGTTGTTTTTACTGGCAGTAAGAGTGAGCAGCAAGGCTACAAACCTGATGAGACTGGTGCACAGCATTTATTTATGCCTTCTTAAAAATATTCACTGTGCTCCAATCCCTAGCTCACACCCTATGCCAGCTCACTCTGATCACTGAAAAGTTGCCACATATGGCTCAAATGGGAAATGAAGGAATAAGAAGCCTCCCAGGCAATGCTCACCAATTAAAGTTTGGGGTATCTACTCAGCATTTCTGTAAGCATTGATCTACATTTTAAATATGTTGCTTGAGGACTGCATTTTTGCAGTCACCTTTGACAAAGAAGGTAGAAAGCAGGGCAAGGCAGCACCTTAGAGACTACCTGGTTTACACAGGCATAAGCTTTTGTAAGTGACAGCCTACTTATAGAATCATAGAAGATTAGGGTTGGAAGGGACCTCAGGAGGTCATCTAGTCCAGCCCCCTGCTCAAAGCAGGACCATCCCTAGCCAGATCATTTCAGCTAGGACTTTGTTGAGTCAGGCCTAAAAAACCTTCAAGGATGGAAATTCCACCACATCTCCAGGTAATCCATTCCAGTGCTTCACCACTCTTCTAATGATAAAGTTTTTCCTAATACCCAACTTAAACTTCCCTTGCTGCAGCTTGAGACCATTGTTCCTTGTTCTGTCATCTGTCACTACTGACAGGTAGTTGAAGGTTGCTACCAAGTTCCCCCTCAGTATTCTCTTCAGCAGACTAAATAAGCCCAGTTCCCTCAGCCTCTCCTCATAAATGATGTGCCCCAGCTCCATTATCTAATTAAAACGAGATGCCAGTTTATCCCAGGGTAAATATATCTCAACAATATATCCAAAATTCCAATGCTGGGAGCTGAATTTTCAGTAATCCAAATATTGCAGAACCCAACTATGGATCCTATGAGTTTATTTGTATTTTATAGGAATCTGTATGCTGCGACAAAAGGACAGAGTTTCCAAAACCTTTTGAGAAGCTCTAGATCAGGAGTAGGCAAAATACAGCACATGGACCATATCTGGCCTGCCAATTGGTTCTATCTAGCCTGTATATAAATTCTGGGTAGACCTGTATCACATTAGTTAGCATGTTAATAAATGCTGTTATTTTGATTAAGTGTGGAAACATGAAGGATCATTTATACTATAAATGCCATAACAATTTTTAAGTATAGCTGTTGTTAAACACAATGGGCATCTATACACGATGGATCTCTGCTTCAACCTGTGCTAATTAGCATGCATCGGAGCAGACTTGAGTAATCAAGTCTGCTAGGAGGCTTCTGGAGCATGCTAATTAGCATGCTCCAGCAGCCTCTGCATCACATGTATTCAGTGTCCCCATGGTTCAAAATGGCAGGGGGGCACTTTAACTAAAGCTCATCAAACCATTTACTTAAATTACCCCCACTGCAATTTTGAAGCGTGGGACTCTGAACACACGTGATGCTGCAGGTGTTTTAATTAGAGCAGCTCTCTGAGACTCGCGCTAATTAAAGCATTCCCCCCCTACTCCCCAGCACATATATAAATGTCCATCCAGGAAGAGCACACACCAACTGCTGAAGCTTCCTTAGCCTGACGAAGGGTTTTTGAACCCAAAAGCTTGCTTAATAACTATTCTCCAACCATTGGGGTTGGTCTAATAAGAGATATCAAATTCACCCAAGGAACCTTGTCTGCCTAATATATCTTGGGTTTCACATACTGAATTCTTACAGGAGACAGGTTGACCAATCTGAATAAAATCCCTGCAAAGAAATTCACAATTTAACATCTCAAACACTACATGAGAGGGAGTATTTACTCCACAAATACAGCATAATTTATTCATTGCAAGTCAGCTCTTATCTGGACACACTCACTTTATCATCATTCAACAAAACTTGGGTTTTTTCTAGGTCTATCCCAACCACCTTGGCTTGTCGAAAGCTACTTCCAAAGCTCACAGAATAAGAAATGAAAGTCTTCTTGGCAAATCCTGGAATTAAAAAAAAAAAAAAAAAAAGAGGGGGGAAGAAGTTAACACTACTTCTGTATTAGTAAAGTATATAAGAAGTTACAAGGAAAGTAGGGAACTAGGAAGTCCATCTTCCACTACATCTCCAGTAATCCAGTTCTAATGACCCTCTTTTAGTTGTGAGGTTTAGGTTTTATATATTTCCTGGACCCAGGGCTGTCCCAAAGGAAGGGCAAATTGGGGCAACCACCCTGGGCCCTGCGCTTTGTGGGGCCCTGCGGAGCTGGGCAGAGCGGCAGCTCACCCCCCCCCCCCCCCCCCCCCCCCCGGCCCCGCCCCCCCTGCCGATGGCGGCAGCAGCTTCTTTGGATTCGGGGCCCTTGGGATCGAAGCAAGGGCGGGGCCCTGCATGGGCCGATTTGCCCTGGGCCCTGCACCCTGATCAGGTCGGCTCTGCCTGGACCATTACAGCTACAACAGTACTTCAACCCTCCATTAGTTCTAAATTCTTGCTTATTGCACAGAATACTACCCAATCCATGGCACTTGTCTCCTGAGGTGTATTTTCTCCATCCAATATAAAATCCTAGAAATTTTTACCTCAGCTGACAATTGAAGACAATAAAATATCATTTAGAATATCATTTAGAATCAAACAAGTTTGAAGCAAGAGTTTTGGTTTTCTTACAATATACAAGCCTGCAAGGCAAAACAATATTAACTTTTATCATCTGTGTTAGCTTCAGGGATGAAGGCCAGTATTGTTTAAACTGAAAATGCATGGACAACTAGAATATAAACCAGCGGTCTCCAACCTTTTTAAATAGGAAATCACCTTTGGCATTTAGAAGCAACCCAAGATCTACCATGCACCGCTGCCCTCCCCCCACCCCGATCAAGGAAGAAAGAGAAAAATTATTTGGGGGCGCGCCTCCCCAGCAGGTAAATCCCACCCGGCCAAGACCCCACTCAACTAACCCCTGCTCCTGCCTCTGCGGCACTGTCCCTCACCATGGTGGCCTTGATCTAGCCCCTGACCCTTCTCTCCCCCATGGACTGAGCTGCTGGGCTGGAGCGCATGTGTGCATGCACACCAGCTCTCATCCCCCCACCCCAGCCTCGGATTGACTCCAAGTGGCTCCAAGATCTACCACAAAACTCTCCAAGATCTACTGGTGGATCAAGATCCACTGGTTGGTGACCACTGATATAAACACTGATACCAAAAAAATTGAAGATCAATGCCTGGAGGAGTGATGGGCTCATAAAAGTCTCCATCTCTTGTAAAGCTATCTGCAGCGAGCTTCTGAATGAAAGAATTGGAAAACAATTGTGTTAGTGTCCCTGCTTATACTGCTAACAGCAACCAAATGAAAATACTGGGAGACACTGAGAAACATTCCCTGATCATTCAGTTTTAATGCAGATCTAAATTTGGCCTTGTATAATTTGGCAGAGTCTTTTGGGTTTATGGTTTAAGACCAGGACCAAACCAGAGTATTTGCTCCCTGTGTAGCAGGTAAAGAGAGAGACAGAGAGAGAGAGAGAGAGAGAGAGAGAGAGAGAGAGAGAGAGAGAGAGGTAGGTAATCAAGGTATTTTTCTCAATAGTGACCACCTAGTTTTAAAACATGCTCAGACACAAAGAGGGTGAGCCAGCTACTAGTCACATCTAATACCAGTACAGCATGTCTACAGTGTGGGGTTTGCCTGGGTGCAGTTATATTAGTGTTGATAACTCCCAATGTTCATTAAGTCATGGCTCAGTTACTTCTGCAACCTCCCACTGCAAAAGAGTTCCTCATCTGGCTTTAACAGCATGACATTTTTTTTTTTTTTTTAAATGAAGTTATTGATGTACAGTCCTTTTTGTTTTGACCTCCTGTTTTTGAGCTTTTGATGTTTAAAGATTCATTCAAACGTGAAGGCTAGATAACTTCCTTTAGATTAGAAGAAAAAAAAGTCTGTGAAATGGGTTTCTCATATTATCTCATGACTCCTGGAAGTTCAACTTCCAGGAGAAATGCCAAATATTGCAGGGCCCTTTATAAAGTTTCATAGCCAAGACCCCAAGAGAGACAATCCCCCAAATCCTAAGGAGTCTCAGCTACAGAACTCATGACTCAAAAGTACCAAGAAGGATAAAAATGGCAAGTTCAAGTGGAACGGTGCTTTCAAGCTTTTGCTTATAATAGTGATCATTAAATCTTGGAAAACAATCCTTCAAGTAATTAATGCTAGCACAGCATTCCTATTGCTGGAGAAGCTCAGTTGCTAGGCTGTAGACATTGTATTGATCCTAGGATAAATGAGGGACAAAGTGCAAATATACAGAGGCCCATACCCATTATCCTGGGGTTTGACTTGCGTCAGAACTCATCTCTACTTCATAGGTATTTACATTGGGACAATGGGCTTATACACCCATAGGATCCCAGAATTTGTCTTGGTAGAAATCTGTTTTTAGCCAAATAAGGAGGTAATAACAGTTTATCCTAAGAAATTTCAGAAGCATGTTCGTAGTTATCCAGGAATTGTATCACTGAATTAATAGCAGAAAAGCAGCAGTGCATTCAGCTGCTTGTTAAACCCTTACTAAAAAGAGTGATACGTGTACGTCAAACATAGGCACAATTTAACCGAGGGCAAATGCAATGTTTGTTCCTAGCTTATGATTTTGTTTTCAAACACACAGCTACTGTAACGGCACAACTACATTTGTGCCATCACTAAATCAGGGATTTGAACTTTTGATTTTAGAAGGTAACAATGGTTTCAAATTTTGAGAAGATGCACGATTAGTTTAAATCATGAGCCACGGTATATTTTGGAATTTTGTCCGTTTTTGACAACATTGCCTATTGTCTTTTTGGAATGGTCATTGAGCAATTGTCTATTTTGGAGTGCTATAAAAGTGTTTGTTTTTCGAAAACTTTGCAGTTAATCTTTCAGCTTGAAGTACCACACCTCTCAGTGAAGTAAACGAATCCCAAGGGACCAGAGATGGTCCACAGACTTTAGGAAAAAACAAATAAGTAGTTACCACTCTCTACAGAGGCTCGGAGGGCAGCAACATTGTGGTGGAAAGCATCTCTCATATCCACAAGAACGAAGGGGATTCCCCAGGACTTTAGCTGGCTGGCAGCTGCAATTCCCCCGAAACCACCTCCAACGATCACCACGCACACAGAGTCATCCACGGAGAGTTTGGATCCCATTGTGGATGGCAGAACTTCAAGATAAAATCTAAGGTGAAAGAGGAAAAAACAAGGTGCCATGAGAATACTTTTCCTGTGGAAACTAATGTCTTAAGACTTGAATATAAAGTGATTAGCACTTGTGTGCAGAAGTCTCTGGAGGCCTGGGGCCTGTGTCAGCAGAACATTTTAAAATATTAATACAAAGCACTTATACGATATGCCTCTACTACCTTTTGCAATGGCTGGATGCCAACTGTGTGTGCTCTGCAAAATGCTCTTACTTGCCTCTTGTCAGTATAGCACCTCTTACATACCTGGAGCTCTTCACCCATTATACAACAACATACCAGGCACTTACAAAACAATATAGTAGCATGGGCTTCTGTTCTGTGCCCAAAAACAACATAATGGAGGAAATCCCACAGCCCTTAACGTGCTTGTCAGCTGCTCCGGGCTTTTGACTGCAGTACCTCTCCCCCAGCCCCCAAGTTTTAAAAAAACAAAACAGCATCTAGATCAGGGGTTGTCAACCGGGGGTACGTACACCCCCGTCGGTACTTGGGAAGGCCCTAGGGGGTACACACAGGCAGGTGGGGATGGAGTGCTGCCACCCACCACCCCGCACTGCTGCACGTCCCACCACACGTCATCCCCGTTGCCCATCCGGCCACGTGCCACCCCTCCCCTGTGCACCACCCCTGCTGCCTGTCCAGCCACTGGGGGTATACATATTAAAAAAGGTTGAAAACCCCTGATCTAGATAACAGAAAACATAGGGTAGAGCTGTGAGAAACCTAGCTGTCATTAAGATGAGGAATCTTACAGCTCTCTGCTAAAGTGTAACCCAGCAGCAAAGTAAAGCAAAGCAAAAAGGGAGACCACTCAGTAGTACAAGACCTCCATCTCCCTTTCCTACATTTCATCATAGCAATAGCATCCACTTCCCTCCTTAATACTTTTAGTGAGTTACTGGGGAGGGAGAGACAGAAGTGCACCATTTCCCCCCTCAAAGATAGGGTAGGAGGGAACAGACCAATGAAGACAGCATCAGAAGTTCCTCCAAAGAGAAGAGCAACTCAGAGGAGCCATGATTAGTTATCAGCATCTGAAAAATAGCACTAAGGCATAGAAGTGCCTTTCCCACCATAGCCTTGATACCATAACAACATAACTAAGGAATCCTATTCTGAGGTGAAACCTCGAAACAGGCTGTTGTTAAAAAAAATTAAAGAAACAAACTAAACAATGCCTGCTTCCTCCCACAGCTGACATCCTGCATGTCCTACCTTACCTGTGGTTACCACCTGTATCCCTTCTTATTCTTCCTCTCTGGAGTTCACTTGTGACTACAATTTACCTTGTTACTTAAACTTGTGTATTATGAAACAGCATGGGGGCATTAGACTGGAGAAGCCTTCTGGCATTTGTTGCATTAGCAATACATGGGTTGCTGTTCAGGTTGATGCAATTACAAGCCAAACAGGCTCTTCTAGGAACTTGTGTGGCTTCTCACATGTTACTTGCAGACTCCAATGAACAAAGTAATTGCTTCACACACTAGGTACAGGAAGGCAAAAGGGTAGGGGCAAACGAGTTTGCTTTTTCCTTTATTGAGAGCACAGGAGCAACTTTGGCTCTGCCAGAGGCAACAGCGAACAACTTTGGATGCATTTTGTTATAATTTATCATATTTTGCACTTTTTGCAGATATTTAATACCTGTGCAAGGCAGAGGAGACAACTGGTTCTCAAACAGATCCAACCAGCTTTGTTGGAGAATTCCCAGCCAGCTCTATTATTTAGTATCAGATTAAATTTTTAAAAAGCTCCCCCCAGTGCATTCAGGTAAAGCCATGCTGATCACAGCAGCTATATATCCTGGCATTATTCTTTTAAATGGCTTTCCCTGCCTCCTGTTTTGTGAAACAAGAGCAGGAGCTTCGGTGCGAAGAAATCCTACTGGCCTCTGAGCTGCAGGCAGAGATCGTTTCCCTGCCAGCCTACAAACTAGCTAACACACAAACTTTAAGCAAGGCAAACCCTGTTGCTTCCAGCTTCATAATTCTTCACTTACCTACTGAACCCAGCACTCAGAAGAACTTGAATTTCCTGGATCACCTCATGCCAATAAAGACAGCATAAAAAGAGTAGACAAAATCATGCTTCTACAGCCAGCAGCTGAGCAGCAAGTTATATCCCGCAGGTTCGGCCCAAGTTTCCATGGGTCGTGGAAGCAGCAGCCCAAGCTGGGGTGTTGAGCAAAAGCTTGATTTTCTCCAACCTCATTCGTTTAATCATGATGATTCAGCAAACACAGTCGAAAGATTGAGGGGGAAGGGTGAAAGCATAAAACAGTTATATCTGCTCCTGCTGCCATCTAATGGAGCCACAAGCAAGCTGCAGTGAAGACAGGGATAAAGTGGATGACAGGTAGATATAATACTCTTTTTTTCTTAAAGTAATAAAGAGGCTAGTCTTGTGAAGATGAAAGAGGCAGAGGTCAACTGATGCTCTGAGTGAAGCCTCCTTTTGGTCACCCCCATAGTAGAGTCATGGATTCCCATGACTGTCTCCGTGGGCTCAGCTGATGTTGGAAATGTTCACCGTTTGGTATGGATGCAGAAGCTAACAACTGAATGAATTTGGCTGAGCCATTTGAAAACTGGCAAGTTATGGCTTTGTTTTGGAGTCTACAGAGAAAGCAAGCCTGGATCAGTGATGTGTCAAGTTTTGGCATACATGGAACCCAGCATCTGGTCCTTATGCTAGCAGGGGAAAGTCAGGGTGCTCACAACAGGTGGGCTGTATGTGCTTGCTCCTTGTAAAGGCTGAGGCAAGAAAGCAGCACAGAAACCAAGAGTCCCTGCTGCTCTCCTGCATTGCGGCTGCCTCAGCTGGGGTGTGGAACTGAATTTCTTGGCACTGGGACAATGATCTGAAATGATGAGCTAGAAGCTAGTAATTGGCTTTGCATTTTTTATTGCAAATAAAAAGGCTATTTTCATTAAAAAGGATTCAGTTAGAGATTCCTGGCAACTTTTACTATGACTGTGTAACTTTATCTCTTTACTAAAATCACACATTACCTGTACCATGAACTCATGACAAACTCCTAGCTCTAAGTACAGGATTGCAATAGTATGTGGGAGACATTCTTTTCCAGCTAATTGGGAACACGTGTTGTCCATTAGTATCCTGATTTCTAACATACTGTTTTTCCAAGGGTAAAATTATGAGGAGGAAACAGTGGGACACTTCAGAGATGATAAGCATTTGTAAAACCCAGAAGTTACCTTTTCAGTGCATCTTTGGAAGGAGAGGGAGACCCTGGTACTTGAATCAGATCCAAATTAGTAACTAGTCTCACCTGGAATCAAGCACAGTCCTGGTGATACTGGTTTAGGAATGGATCTCATCTTGAGATGAGGAGACAGGAAGCTGATTCATTTTCATAAGAAAGGCAGCAAAAGGGCTGGGAGACCCCCTTGGCTCAATAGGGATGTCACAGACCTCCTGAAATTAAAAAAAAAGAAGCTTATAAGGGATGGAAGTCAGAAATTATCACCAAAGAGGAGTACCCAGCAATAGCCCACACCTGTAGGGAGCAGATTAGGAAAACAAAGGCACAAACCAAATATACATTGGCAACCAGAATCCAGGACAACAAAAAGTCCTTATTTAGATATGTAGGAAGTCAAAGAAAAAATAAGGGAAACACAGGACCCCTGATGAAAGAAATGGGACAGCTATTGCAAGACTCATGGCACTCAGGAGAGGTCCCAGAAGACTGGAAGAGGGCCAATGTGATGCCTATCTTCAAGAAAGGAAGACCCAGGGAATTACAGGCTGTGGCAGAACACTGTTGGTGTCTGCCACTTTAAGGGCTGAGTCAAGCAGCCAGCAGGTGCTTGATTGTGGTGGCCATTTCACAACACTGGCTGCCTATATAAACAGAGCAGTTTCTGCCTGGTAGTTTAGGCAGAAACATCACCTGGCTGGCCTGTATGGAACATCTAGCAGGTAGAAGCTGGAGGTGCTTGGTCCTGGGCATGACCTAAAACTCCATCCTGCTGGGGAAGGATGACCTGGTGGGTCTCCTGGTAGCACAGGAGTCCCCAGGAAATGCTAGGCTGGTTACCTCCCTGATGAAAGATGAGGAGAGGTACCTTAACCCCAGCCCCCATCTTCGGGTGGGCTTTGGAGGCAGGAGTGGGGCCAGGCACAGCTGCAGCCACCTGAGCCCATGAGAGCCCAAGACCCTAGGAAGTGAGTGTAGTGTGGCCAGGCATGGCAAATGGAGTGCCACCTGAGCCTATGGGGGTGGCTGACCCTAACGCCCTGAGAGAGGGCGGTGTAGTGAGGCCTGAGGGAAGAAGGCAGAGTTGTGTGGCCACGTACCAAGTAGGGCTGAATGAGAGTAGGCTGAAGGACTGTGTGTAGAGGGGCTGAGTAGGGCTGAACCAGGAGTAGACCTCAAGGGCAGCCCCAGGGGTGCTCTGAGTAGGGCTGAACTAGGAGTAAGCCTAAAAAGCAGTGCAAGGGCCAGCCCCATGAGTAGTTGATTGGAAAGACAATGAGCAGACCCCAGGGTGGGGCGTGGTGTAGAGACCCTAGAGAGGGCATGGTTGGAACCCCATGTGAGGGGAGCAGGCCAAAGTATGTCTTCAGATACCTGAGGCCATAGTTTGGGCCAGAGGCCGAGTAAGGGGGTTCAGTCAGAGAAAACAGGGCAAGTCTTGACTCTGGTAAATCCTCCACCACAAGGAGGCCAAGTGTGGGTCAAAAGTAAGACCTGTAGTTGAGCACAATGACCTGCTGCTCCAGTGGGGGAATGAAAGTCCCTGTGAGATCCTGGAGTACCAGTCATGGTGGCATTAAAAACATCATGTGGATGCCATTTGTAAGGCATGGGCTGTGGTGTAGAAGAGGTTGGAACCGCAGATAGCACCCCCTGGCACTGGGGCACATAATGGGTAGGCTTCTGCCTTTACCATCTGTTTACAGGAACACCAAAGTCATGGCAGAGGAGATGGGGCAGATTGCTCCATAGAGACAGGTGGGCAGGCTGGCATAGGACCCGGCCCCTAGCATGCCCCCTGTCACACAGGCCAATTAGTTTGACCTCAATCCCTGGTAAAATCCTGGAAAAAAACTATCAAAGAATCCATTATTGATAGGCTAACAGAAGGCAGTATTCTAAAGGACAGCCAACATGGCTTCATTGCAGTCAGGTCATGCCTGGCCAACCTCATCTCCTTCAATGATCAAGTAACTTGCTACCTACATAGGGGAAATGAGGTTGATGTCATATACTTGGACTTCAAAAAGGCCTTCAACTGAGTCTTCCATGATGTCCACATGGTAAAATTGGGAAAATGTGGCCTCAGCTACTTTACGGCCCAGTGGCTAGGTAAACTGGCTCCAAGGTAGGACCCAGAGAGTATTAATAGACTAAACTGAGTCATCGTGGTAGAAGGTGACTAGTGGTGTCCCTCAGGGTTCTGTAAATGGACCAGTGCTTTTTAACATGTTCACCAATTATTTGGATTTGGGAATTAAAAGTGAACTGGTAAAGTTTGCGGATGACACCAAATTATGAGGGACTGTGGTCACACTCAAGGACAGGCTGGCAATACAGGCTGACCTGGACAGGGTGGTGAGGTGAGTGGATCTTAACCTGATTACGTTTCTCCATGTTTAAATGTAAAGTGCTCCATATGGAGAGAAATAATCCACAACACGCTTATGGACTTGGCAGTGCTATGCTTGCCATCACCACAACTGAAAGAGACCTGGGGGTCATTAAAACCCACAAAATGAACATGAGCCACCAGTGTGATGTCGTAGCTGGCAGAGCAAATCAAACACTGGCATGCATCTACCGAGGCATCTTGAGCAAGACGAAGGATGTCATCCTTCCGCTCTACTCAGCCTTGGTGAGACCGCAGCTGGAGTATTGCATCCAGTTCTGGGTGCTGCACTTCAGGAAGGATGTGGAGAACCTCAAGAGAATCCAAAGGAGGGCCACATGCATGATTAGAGGTCTGGAGAGCAGGTCATATGAGGAGAGGCTGAAAAATGTGGGACTCTTCAGCCTGGAGAAGAGAAGACTCAGAGGGGACTTGGTGGCAGCCTATAGTATATTAGGAGCATATATGAGGGCCTCGGGGGCCATGTGTTCACCAAGGCCCCCAGGGGAGGACAAGTAACAATGGGCACAAACTGATTGAAGATTGCTTCATATTGGACATAAGGAAAAATGTATTTACAATTTGAGTGCCAAGGGTCTGGAACAGGCTCCCCCGCAGAGGTGGTACAGTCGCTCACCCTGGCAATCTTCAAAAAGCATCTTGACGCCCATGCTCATCGGACCCCAGCAGTCTTTTCTGCCCAAGTGCAGGGGGGCCATACCTGATGATTTTGTAAAGTCCCTTCCAGCCCCTAACATCCATGAATCTATAAGATGGGCAGGGTGACCTCTTGTGATCTCTTTCAGCCATATTTTCTATGACTGTATGATAACAAACATAATTATCATTTGCGGCTGTATGGCAACATTTTACTCTCTGCTGTAAAGGTTGAATTTGGCTCTAATCTTCATGGAAGAAAGTAGAGACTATTGCACAGTCAGCAACTATTTCTGAGTGCAGGTAATCTTCAGGCACAAGTTAATTCAGAAAAGGAGTTGCTATATGACAAATGTTGTATCCAACAGGAATGGGGAAAAAACTGGGCCTGCTATGTGAGCAGCCGGTTAAATGGCTGGTCAGTCTGTGCACAAGCTCCTCCCTTTAGTTTACAGCAGCAAAACAATAACTTGGTTTGTGTGTGTTTTGTTTTGTTTTGTTTTGTTTTTACCCTTGTTCTTTGTGGCAAACTGGCTTTGCCAAGTTTCTTGTTGTTGCCATGTTTGCAGGACCAGCCAGCTGGCACACCAGCTCTTCTTTAATGATGAAGGCTAGAATGGAGTTTCACTGTAAACTTGGCCTTCACGCTGACTTCTCCCACAGAAGACAGGACATCCTCAGAATAAGGAACCAAAATAGCCTTTTTGCTCATCAGTTCCCTCGGGTGTTTGAGTTAAACAAAGCCAACCCTATATCAAAGAGCATTACTGTGTGACTAAAAAAGCTTTTTCCCATTCAGTTAACCAGGTTTCAATCCCATAGTATCAGCCCTGCCATAAACCTGCTAGTTTAAGTCTTCATCTACGCTACAAGAGTTAGTGCTGTGATACAGGTACTTACAAGCACCTTGTGTTCTCTGAGAGAATGGCTCCTGTCAGAAAACAGAATTAAACAGGTAAGTAAGGGGCTGTGGGCCTCACTGAGACTTGGAGAAGGCTTGCTACTTGTGAGCATTGTGGATGAACTAGGCCTTCAGGAGAGACTGAAATGAGGAGAATGTGCCAGTTTGCCTCTAGAAGGGCCAAACAAGTGCAAAGGCAGCAGGGGGAAAAAGCAGAGAAGGTTGTGGGGGGGGGGGGAAAAATGACAAACAAGGGAATGAAGCTGGCATCAAAGACAGAACAAAAAGAGATTCTGGAGATGCCATAAGAGATGAGGAGGGGTGGGAAGAAGTATCCAAGGTCTTAAAGAAAACTGCAGTGTTGATAAGGAGCCCATTTGTCTGGAGAGTGGGGGTAGGGACCTGAGAGGGAGTTTTACTGTAAAAGGAACAGCCAGGACATGTTACTTTGTAGATGAAAATTATCCCTCAGAGATTCGGCTTCTGGGGCATTGCAAATAAATATAGCTAGTCACTTGGATAAATATAGTTCTAGCCACACTGCAGTTCTTGTGAGCTGATAAATCTATATAAATTACTTTACAGATGCTCCTCCTCATCCTCTGATTACTAAGGAACACATTTTGCTCTTACACCATGTACAACCCCACTGACTTGGGGCCAAAGCACAGTCCCACTGCAGCCAAGGACAAAACTCTCATTGACTTAAGTGGACTACAGTTTGATCCTTTGGGCCACCTATTAGGTATGTAAGAGGACTTAGACACAAGTCCAATTCTATTCCACCATGCTCAAGACCCTGAAAATCCATGAATGCATCTACTTCTGTAAGAGTGGCCATCTTAGCATTCGGAATGAATCATCAAAAAACCAGGGAGGAGGACAAGGACCTCCACACCTTTTATTTGAACTATTTTTCAAATTACTAGACTTCCACTTGGGCAGGGTAGAATATGATCACACCTGGGCATCTAGCTCCACTAACATACCTCCTAGGTGGAACAAAGCTTGACTGTTTGTCTTCAATGGAGCTGCACTGAGTTTATGGCAGTACAGAATTTGTTTCTCATTCTTTTCCTTTTTCCTTCCTTCATGTAATTTGTGCTGTTTTAAAGAGCAATAGAGATTGACAGGCTTTAGAAATAAGGCTGCTACTCGCTTAGAAGGGTTTGTGTGAAATAATAAGCTCGTCACAATTATGCTTCAAACGCAGCATTACAAACTCCCTCAATTACTTCCCCAGATATGTGTG